AAAATTACACAAGCATAGCATAAACATGAGGAATGGAACTGCAGGACATTCGAGATCTATTAGGACAGAACTTCTCCAAGGGTGGTCCCCCATCAGCAGTAGCAGCACTGCCGTGAACTTGTTAGAAAAGCAAATCTTTTAGCCTTTCTGAGTCAGCAACCCTGGTGCTGAGGGTCAGGAATGTAGATTTTAACCAGGCTTCTGGTGACCGCTGGTTTGAGAGCAAGTGCTAAGACTTCTGCCTTGGCAGGATGTTCTTGAACCTGCTGTAATAATATCAGTGCTTCTGAGAGGAGAAGCTGTAATAGATCCCTGGAAGCTCTGAACTTGTTACCTTCACCAGGTGTTAATACCTACATCATGTTTCAGATCAAGGATCCATTTGCTCCCATGGGAGCAAGGAGGAACCCCACAGCATTCTCACCTTCCAGGTGTAGAGGTGGAGAACCAGCTGGGGACACCCTAAGCAAATGTTCCCAGGTGCCTGGGAACATTACAGAAGCTTCAGAAGGTGAGAGAAGTGGGTGGGCCCTCTCACCCACCGCATACCTGTGCTCAGATGTCTGCCTAGCCCACCTGTCCTTGCCTGGGAGTCATCCTGCCCCCCCAGGTGCTCGTGTGTATAGCAGAACCTGAGCAGAGATTATAGAGCAGGCAGTTTAGTGCTTAGAGTTTCAAGAATTAGTCAGTGTCTAAATTTTCCGTGTAAGAAGTTTAAGTCTAAGCTAGCTAACTCTGTCATTAGAACCAATGTTTTAGCTGTGTTTCCAGGCCTAAGTCTTATTATGTGAGGAAAAAACTACTTAGATTTGTAAAGAAACTCTCACCTAAGGCCTGGGTCTTTTTGGAGTCCATACTATGACACACAAAGTTTACTGCCCTGATGAACTATCACATGCTCCCTATATGACTCAGCAGAGACATAGTCTGCTTGCTATGGCAAGGGCTCAAAATATTTTTTTTTGGCTAAATAAGTGAATTTATCACTCCATTGAATTCCCAAAGCAATTCACAGAAATCTGACCTGAGCATTATCAGGGCACCGTTCCTCCCTCTTTGCATTCCTGTCTTAATCATTCAGTGAAAACACCTGCCCTCTTCTCTTACTGTGCACAAAGGGAGGCGTGCCTGGCTTTAGCCAGCAAGTACGGGGAAAGGAACTCTTGTGACCTGCTTCTGCCTGGACATAGGATATGCTTTGCTCACTGCCTGCTTGATACTTGTTGGGGACTGTGGACATGGGTCAACCTATCTTGGCTAATAGCAATGTAGGTAGATTTTCAGGGTGAAATATTTGGAAGGGCATTTTGTGGTGGTTCTGATCTACATTTGCTAGGCATGCTTTTTCTACTAACCTGATATTTTGATTCCCACCTCTCAGCCATCCTTACTTCTTCATGGGTTCAGTAGCCCAGGGGTAAAGGCTGGGTGGATTGTCCTACCTTAAACAACCCTGCAGCCTTCTTACATTTTACCTTTCCCTGGTGTGATTCATGTCTTGCTGCCTGAGCAAACTAGGTCAGAATACTTTCTGTTTCCTACACAACCTGATAGAAATCTTACTGAGCTCCTTCTGACCTTCAAAACCTCTTCCCTACTCAAGCATTGGTTGATCTAAAACTTTCAGTCACTTGCTAGTGGCACCTTTAGAGTCACCAACTAGAAAAGAATCTCTTGCTTCCCCACCTGCACAGCTCACCCAGGCTTATTGTAAGAGAACTGTGTTGAGAATCAATCACCTTCTGTACCCACCATGCAGCCCCCTCTACTACCCAAGGCAACTCATTAGACCTGGTGTGGGCACTTGATCCACAGACAGAAACTCCAGGGAATCAGATTTCTGCCTGGCTTCCAGCCTATGAGGTAACCTGGCACAAAAGGAGTGTTCAGATCAGGTCAGAAAATGATTAACTAGGCCACATAGAATTCTTTGAGGGACTTGAATTACAGACGTGGGCAAGCACCCACAAGCTGAAAGGGAGAGCCTAGGAAGAAAGATGCAGGAGATCGCTGGAAGCTGACAGTCACTGAGGGAGTTTAAAGGAGCAACATCAGAGAGAAATAGCCAAGGTCTTGCTGGGGATTGCTCTATGGATAATCAGGTTGTTAGATCCAAGGAATACCCACGTTCTACTTCTAGGTCCTTTGGGAACCCAAGGATGTCTTTGTCCTTTGCATTCACCCAAGGCCAAGGAGGACTCTTATAATTCAAGATGCTTCCATTAGTCTCTCCTGAGAGATGATGCCTCTCCAGCTCCCATGGAAATCCCTGGGCACAAACCACAGCACATCCGCATTCCACATAAAGCAGTTGTGTCTATAATTGAGTTACGCCCGGCAGCACATACAACCCCCTCGGCCTCAGGGTCCTGTGTAAGTGTTGTGGTGAAGTAGAGGAAGCAGTGTGGGACAGAAATGGGAAACACACGGCTTGCTCCCCGAACCTAGCACTTCCACATGTCTAACTTGGCTCACAAGATATTTGTAAGCAAAAAAATCTTTGAGTTAGTTTCCAGTGTTTGAAAAAGAGTTTTCCCCATGGAAGTCCAGATTTCCAGGGCTTTTGAAAATTTTGAACCCCCAAGAGCACTGGGCCTCCTCTCTCTGGAGGGCACTCATTGAGCAGAGCTGAGGAGTACTCAAGTCACTCCTCTTAGCTGAGCTTTTCCATTGCTCTAGCTTCTCTCTCATCTGCCTTTGTCACTTATTTTGCTTGTCTGACCCCTGCTGTCAATTGACTTTACACATATTCATAGAGACAGAGCAACAGGGCAGACATATGGAGAGAACCAGAAGTTATTTATTAAGCTGGGGCTGAGAAGGGAATTTAGGAAGAGATGCTAAGGGTGGAAACCCAACAGTGTCAGTGCATTTAATTAGAAGGGCATCATTAGTGGTTTACATGAGACCAAAAGTCAGATGGCAAGAGAGTAAAGAAGCTGATAATAGTCACATTGGATATTAGAAATTCAAAGTACCATCATGAAGTGCAGACAAGAGGCACAATTGTTTCAAAGATGTGAAATGGACCACTGATAATGTCCTCAGGATTACAGAGACCTATGAGAGAGAATGAACAAAGACGGTTGAGCTGATGGTAGGAGGAAAAGTAGATAGCATCTAAAAGGGATGTGGTACAAGTATGACAAATCCATAAGGGGAGATACAGAGTTCTTACCGCACACAGCTAGGATTTATTTCCCAGAACAAGAGAGAGCCCTTGTGTGTCTCCTCTGATAGTTGTAAACGCCTGTAGAATTTTGTACAAAGTTGAGTTTCCTTTTAAAGTGGAAGAAATCTGAAAATGTTTTGATGCACCATTGATGGCAATAACTCCCTTTTATAAAATGTTCCCAGGATAGTTTTGTCATAGAATATTATCTCATCCTACTGTCTCCCTTTTTAAATGAAATACTACAAGTCTCATTTGGAATATTGCTCATGAAATAAGCTCTTTAAGTTTACATGAATAAATTAGATTTACAAAAATAAGAGTACATGATAGCCATTAAACATAATCTACGGGGTCTGCTTGTAATCCTGGAGAATTATGATTTCTGTTTACAAAACCATGTCCCTCAAACTACAGCTGCTGACAATTAACGTCGTTAACAACCTCAAGGTAGATGTGGTTCCCTTCTTGGGAGTTTTACTAAGTATACCCACCTCCGTCTGCCTCAAACTCCCAGACTAGAAATATTTTCTCTTGAATGAATACTTAATTATTTGTTAGAGTGAACTCTTCTCACAAAATTTTGACTAGCACTTAAGTGAGGCCAGGAAAATTCTCTCAGATCTACTCACTTGAAATGTCACCTCTCCTTTTATCCTGTGGCCTCAGGCTCCTTGCTTTCTACATTTTTGAAATCCATACACTCTGTAGTGTTCTTTGCTCCCTGGCTTAATTTCCACCTAGCATCCCTGAATGCTTGAAGTGTCTTTGGAGTTCCTTTCACTGGTGGCTGCCATCTTGTTTCTGGTACCCAACACTGGTATCCCACAATCCCTTCCTCCTAGGTAGCTTCTCTCCCAGCATAAACTCCATTCCCTGTGACAGCTCCCACAACCATGGAGTTTCTCTGTTTAGAGTTTACTATGAGGTTCATTATATGTATTTGGTGGGAAGATTTCAATTACACCTCATCTGGATCACTCTCTTTAATGCATACTCCCACTACCTTCTCTTGTTACCTGTATTTCTAAATATTAGTCACATATGTGGAGGCAGGATGATGAAAAGATCCTCTGGGTTAGACAAACTGTATGACTCTTCACATAACAACTAATCATCTGAAAGAAAAATTAAAGTCTGGGGGCAGTGAGAGACTTGTAGTACACATATTATTGACATATTTTAGAGCTACAAAGATTATGTAGAGAATTTAACTTCTGGATGAGGCCTGGGGAAAAGATGTGATTTACTCAGGATCATTTTATTAACTATTGCAAGGTCTCCTGTTTTCTATGTAAGACCTTACACTGAACCCTTCTTTTCCTGGTTTTTAGTTTCTATTGTGACAACATAGCTATACCATTATATCTATATATAATGTAAATCGGTGTGTGTGTGTGTGTGTGTGTGTGTGTGTGTGTGTGTGTGTGTTATGCATACCTGGAGAATGCTTCCCAAACTTGTCATCTGAGATGGCTTTAAACATGATAGTAGTGTGGACTCCTACCAGACATTCTGAAGCAGAATCTCGGACGTAGTGGGGCAGGAAGCAAAGGTCAGGCCCTGGGGATAATTCTCTTGCAATCTTGCCTTACTACATTCTCTGTTTCTCACGAAGCTCTGAATTTTATAAGATTGGCCCAGGTTTCATAATTTATTACCAACATGAAAGAAGTCCTGAGTGGGCTTGCTATGTTGTCATGGTAGACATGAGAATAGAAAAGAGAGGTTTGCAGACTTGAGCACAAGCCCTGTGTCTTTAAGCAGTGCCCAGCAAGGCTATTAGCTGGGTTTGTTTGTGTGTCTCCATGGAGGAGGAGATCAACTTGCAAGCAGTACCTGGGGTCCGTGGGTGTTCTCTGAGGAAGCTGCTGCATGAGTCAGGCCTGCAGTGTGGTGGAGTAGAGTCCTTGATATGCTCCGAGATGATTCAACAGCACAGCTGAGACCTGAGTGTGCCAGGTCACAAGAGTAAACCGCTCTCCCTGTGCATGGTAAGGGGTCATCTTGACTGAAACAACAGCATGATCACCACTAACAGCAGGGGAGATGGAGATGAAATTGTTTGCCCCTGGGATCAGCCCTGGTGTGTGAGCATGTGGGACACCCTGGGAATGTGGGGGCCACAAGTGGGAGGATGTAACTCTCTGAAAGTGATTGGGGATTAGATAAGTGCTCTCTGTAGTCGAAGCCTTGGACCAGTCCCATCCACCTCCAGCCCCACCATGAACTACTTACTTATTCAAGTTCACCTCGGGTAGTCTCTGTTGTTGGTCCTCCTGAGGGTGAAATATTGGCCTCTTTTCCCCCACAGATGCTCAAGTAGGGGCAGAGCTCATAAATATTCACGGCCTTTTGATTTTATAGCTCTGATTGCTCCCAAAGCCTGGCTGGCAGGCAGGATAGCTCCTGGCGAAAGAATAGTTGGAAAAGCAGTGTGTCATTCAGATTTTTCTGGCATCCTTTTCCATAAGAGTTGGGCAAGTTCCTAGGCTACTACACACATGTGAATCACTTCAAAATGAAGAGGCACAGAGCAGAAGGCGGACTTCATAAACCATGAAAAGTTTTCCTGGAGGAGACCAATAGCTAACACAGCCTGAAGAGCCATCTCCTTCCAGCTAGAACAAGGAGGGCAATGCAGAGGCTTGCTGGATGCAGCGTGGCTCTCAGGACCTTGGCACCTGCTCCTCATGCTCTGCCATGCAGACTTCTGGGCCTGCAGCTGTCAGCGTGTATGCCTTGGCTTCTATTCCCACTTCTATTCTTTGACCTCATACAACGTCTCTACCTTTTACCTTCTGCTTAATTGTAGTCTCTACTTTCGCCCCATTTTGGCTTGCTGTTAATATCAGCTGACCCAAGGCTCTTCATGGCCCTATCCTTTCCACCTTGGGCCCCATGAAGAACAACCGAGTCTCTGTGTCTTTCTCAATTCAAAGTCCTGTGAGTGGGGCTGTGCTTGCCATAATAGAGCCCTGCTTGTGCTCACCTCTTAATAATAGGTCATGTGATGAGCCTGGAGCAGGGAGTCAGAGCCAGGTGTTTACCCCAGTGCACTCATGAGAGGACAGAGGCAGTAGGGACACATCTAAGGCTGCTGTTTCAGCGGGGCTATCGCTCGGACAAGGCTCCTTAGAAAGGGACACAATCGAACCATGTTTTACCACAGGCAGCTAAGAGTCATAATAGCTAAATTAAAAGTGAGAGGGGGAAGGTACAGCTCTATTCACAGGCAAAAGTCATAAATATGGATATTGTCACTGAGTACCTAAAATAGAGTTAGAGTGGCCTTGGTAAAGTGTGAATAGGATAGAATACAATGTTCCTGGAACCAAGAAAAAATAGTTCTTGAGTCTTTATTTAGTAAAGAAAAAATTAATTAATAAATAAAGACAAATAGCAAACTTAAGGGTAAAGCAAATAATCCACGGATGCGAGGATGGTGGTGACGAGGAGAGATACGGAGAAGGGAAGCTTAGAAATTCAAGAAAACATGGACTAGAAAGAACTGGGGCTCACAGGGGCGTGCAGAACTGCTGAGTATAAGCAAAGCATGTACAGTCATGTAGAACATGAAATATAGGGGCCAATAGGATTCCTTGCAGTCTCAGCATGGGATAAATCCTAATTTGGTTTTGTTTCCATAGTTTTTATAAAAGAAAAAAAGGAGAAGTAAGAGATACTGAGGAGGTTGGGAGACATGGAGTGAAAGAAAGCACTAAAAAGAATGTAAAATAATAGTTGGAATCCTTTAGACTGGAAATTTAAAAAACCTAGACTTTTAAAATTAAACCTCAGAATCTAAGGCAACAGATGGGTAAATTATTCTTTTATTCCAATGCTACAATTAAAATGAGAGAGAAAAATGGGGAGGCAAAAACTATTGGCAAGTTGATTGCCAAGCAACAGATCGAATTACAAAAGGCCAAGTCAATTCACTTTCTTAACAACAAAATAATTGGACTGTGTCTGAACTATGTGAAATTATCTCCATTTTAAAGACACCAAATGAGTTTGATTATTCAGTAATCAATTCATTCCTCAGCACTAGCATGTTATATTAGCCAAAATAGCTGATTGACTCAAAAAGTGTCAATTCAGGGGCATCGTGAAAGTATAGCCTCAAGCCTTGTATGAGAATGAGCTACAGGACCAGAACTTTAATCACTGCTTTAACTGAAGAGATGGCTGACATGAAAGCCAAGTTGACATATTCACTCAGAGAACGTCATGGCAGAGAGATGGACGCTTGCTGGCTTTAACTTCCCTCAGTGGACTGCAAAAGATTCTATCATTCACTCAAACATATGTCTCAGTGTAATTCCAACTCTATCCTGAGTTAGCAGACACCAGCAGTTAGGGGCCCAGTCCTCCGCAAGTGACACTTTGCTTCAGATACCAAGCAAAATTTCTAGGGTCCCTGGGCCAACCATACTTCTGGCCAGGTGGTTACACATTGAGGATTCCTACTACCACCTCAGGTTCAATACTTTGCTAGAATAACTCAGAACAAAGGGAAGTACTGTGCCTGTGGTTTTAGTTTTATCGAAAATGATGCAAATCAGGACCAGTCAAAAGAACAGACCAGGGGGAAGGCTCAGGGAGTGTTGCAAATGCAGAGCTTCTGTGCCCTCTCACCATGGGATTAAGGTGTACCACTGTCCTGGCAGAGTTATATGTTCACCAATTAGGAAACTCACCCCACTTTGGTGCCCAGAATTTTTATTGGTGTTCATTATGTAGATCTGAATCAGTGACTATGTGTTTGAGCTCAATCTCCAGCTCCCCTCCTGTGAGGATGGATTGATATCAAAGTCCCAACCCTCTAATCACATGGTTTGTCTTTCTAGCACGGCCGGATTCCATCCAGAAGTAATCTGGGAACCCATGTGAGTCTCATTAGCACAAACACAGATGGAGTCCCAGAGGTCCCTCTCTTCATGTGAAGCTGGTGGCTCCCAGACTGTGAGTACTGCTGTTGTTGCCAGTTCTCTTGGCAAGAAGCACAGCGCTTAGTGGGGTTTCAGTTTCTTAACCTGCCTCTCTTCTCTTCACCTTTCCCCATCTCCGATCTCACATCTTCACAGCTCCATCTTCAGGTCTCAGAGCCCAAGATGAGAAAGTTGCTGTTTGCTCCTATTCTCTCTCATTTTGATTCAGCTGATCTGCCCTGCATCTCAGTGTAAATGACGGCATTATCCCAAGGCTCTCACCAACAAACCCACTCCCAGCATAGTTGGTCATTGGTGCAATTCACAGAGTCTGCGTTGGGCCGCTTGGATTGTGCTTCCTGTCAGCCACCATCCTTGTTGACATTGTCAGCCAAAAGAACTCAAGAGTGTGGCCTTTCAAGGCGTGTTAGAAGCTACCTTCTGTGAAATTACCTAGATACAAAGCCAAGCTCTGGGGAGAGAAGGAGAAAATGGACCAGCAGGCGGGACTGGCAAGATCCCTGAGCCCCGCCTCCCATGCTCTGAGGCGGGAGGGGAAGAGATGGGGTGGGAGGAAGGGCGGGAAACGCAGGCCTTCCTGCAGATTGCAGAGAGGCCAGGCTGGCTGTCAGCCAGAGCCCACCAGAATGTGGCCTCCCAGGGAGATTGCTCTGCTGGGGCAGTCAAGGCCAATGTCTGAAAACAGAATTGTAAAGGAAGGACAAGCAGAGTAACAGCCTGACTCCTGCCTTCTCTACCTTTGGGTCACAGAGGCCAAGAGGAACAGAGCCAGAATGGACACATGAGTCTCAGTTATTACTGCAGAGTTGGGTTGGACGGGTTTGTATGGAGAAAGGGGACGACCCACTCCCGGATCCTCCTTTCAGGCTCCGGTATGCAATCCAGCAGGGTGCTTTGATGTCAGGGGAACGGGGGTTTCAGTCCTGGTTCTGTTAACTATGACCTGTGTGATTCAGGCCTGTTTACACCACATACAATGGAGATAATAGCTTCTTCATATTGCTGTTGTGAAGATTAAATGAAATAGTGTCCTGTGTTACATGGCAGGTGGACACCGTTTCCCTCCCTTCTTCCTTGTCCTCTGGTCCCTGGTACTTCTACTACCACTTATACTCTGTATCCTGCATCGGGATATTTGGCTGAAGTGTCTGCTCTGTTTTTTGATGGGCTGCGACCATAGGGATCCCTCACTGTCCATCAGGGTTAGCACACCAGGGTTAGCACACTGAGACAGACCTCATCGTTTCCCTTTACTCTCCTTGCTGACTGCTCCTGACAACAGGAGGTTGACATTTATGTGCTGTGATTTCAGCAACACCAGCCAGGCCTATCCTTCGCTCCTCCCCACCCACCCCCACCCCACTCCCTAATCCGAAAGCAAACTGGAGAACTTCCTTCTATGTTACCTACTAAAATTGATCCACTGGTATTTCTTTTTTTTTTTTGTAGTATTTTCATAGTTAAAATGCAAATTTTCTAGGAGTCAGTTTGTTTTAAGCCTGGATATCCCTTGTCTGAAATGCTTGGTATCAGGTATATTACTGATTTCAGAATTTTTTTGGATTTTGGAATATTTACATATTCATAATGAGATATCTTTGGAATGGGACCTAAGCTTGAACATGAAATTCACTTATGTCTCATACACTTATGAGACATAAGTGAATTCACTTATGTCTCATACACACCTTACACACACCTTACACACAGACCTAAGCTTGAACATGAAATTCACTTATGTCTCATACACACCTTACACACAGAGCTTGAAGGTAATTTTTCATACTATTATGGGTGTGCCTGTGCTTTCACTGTGCCCCGCCCCCCACTGAGATCCTGTTGGAATTTTCCATTTGTGGCGTCACACCAGTGCTCAAAAAGTTTGACATTTTTTGGACTAGGGCTGCTCAGCCTGTTTGAGCAAATGAGTCACTTTCCTCTCCTCTGGGGTCCATGTGTAGGCGTGGCCTGTCTATTGGCCAAAAAAGACAAGAACCACATGTTCTACCTGTGGTGGTTTACACTGCCATTCGGCTTTTACCTGTCGTACAATTTTGCTGTAAGCCCATTTCAGCAGCTGTTCAAAACCAACTTCCCGTCAAACCCAGTCAACTCATGTTGTCACCCTTGGAGTTTTCTTTTCCCTGCGCCCCCACACTCCTTTTCCCACCTTACCTTTGTGCACGCTACTATTGCAGGAAGGAAAGAGCTCACTTTTGCTGAGGGCCCACCATGTATCTGGCAGGGGATGACATACACCATCCATTTAAATCTCATTGCAAGCCTAGCAGTAGGGATTATCAATCTGCTTCATGAGAAGGAGAAATAAATAACAGAAGTAAATTACTCAAAGACACCAAACCGAAGGGGCTATAGCTGTGTTCTGGATCCACATCTTTAGCTCTGTCTCTTTTCATAAGATGGTGTTAAGTCTTTGTTCTTTCTTCTTGCAATAATATCCTCCTTTCTACTTTTCACACTCTTTTTAAGCATCTAGAATGAGAATAGTGTGTCAGACAAAAAATAATTTATCTTTTTTCCCTTCCAAGAAAATGGAAGTAAAGAATGGAAAGAGCTTTTGCAAATGCGAAGGGGAGCCAGAATTGGAGGGAGCAGGGAGAGACGGAAGGGACAGGGGACAAAAGAGAGAATGCAGGTGTGTCATGTATCAAATCCCCCATGATAAATGTAATCATCATGTACCGAAACATGCACTAATAAAAATAATCAATCACAGAACCCTAACATTTAAAAATATTTTCTTATGAAAACATTTAAATGTCCACAAAACATAAAGAATAGTGTTACAGAGTCTGTAACTCTCACCTGCTTGCTCAGGTTCGCAGGTAAGCACAGGTCAACGAACAGATAGTGCGGAGAACGTGGGAGGAGGTTCTAGAACAAGCAGTATGAGCTTACGTGTCTTTCAGTGCCTTTTAGCGCATTTTCACAGCACCTATCCCAGTCCAGGTTCCTGCTGTCGTTCAGAGATAACAGTGATCTCTCACCCTTATTGACACTTACTCTGCCTGGTAGGTTGTGCTTCACAAATGATAACCGAAGAATTCTTGCAATCTGCTTATAAAGGGGGTACAGTTTTCTGTGTTCCATTTGCAAGGGAACATGCTAAGTGCAGAGCTGGTTCCTTTCTTGCTCAAGGCCACATAGCAAGCTGGTGTGGAAGATGGGACTGAAACCCAGGCAACCAGCCTCTGGGCCACCTTTTAAACCCTGAACTTGACTCCCTCTGTTCTTTCCTTGGCTGAATTTATAATCTGAAAACACCATGTTTCCCAGCATTTTCCTGTTCACAATGCCGTGCCAGCTCATGCTCATTCTTGTCTCAAATACAAACTCTGTAGAATTACCATTTAGAAATTCTGCAGTGTTTATCCAAGAACAGGAACCAGGGCTTTGAGCTTTCAACCCAGACACTGTGCATTCTTTCTATAACTAGCTCACCTATGTGAACTTTGCTAGGCAACCTGCAGAAACAGGGGCATCTACAGCCCCCCTGTGTACCCTCCTTCATGCCCAATCCGTTTCTAAGCAGGGTTGAAATTCTATGTGCTGGGGAAGTGCAGAATCGATCCCAACTTATCAACAGAGAGCACGTAAGTGGCCAAGGAAACAGAGCCTCTGGTGTAAAGCCCAAGTACTGAGGAACAGACAGAGCAGCTGAGAGGCAACCCGGGAGGCGTGAGAACAGGCCGAGCTGACTAATCGACTCTGTACATGGCGGCAAGGCAGCAGTTAGGACCCACATGGTCCAATACAAATGCATAAGCACCACTGAGTCCCTTTCTAGTGCAGCCATGTCTCATAGCCACGATATATTTCAGCAAGTGCGCAGCATGGAGGACTCAAACCTGGTCCACAAGGTCAGGTGCTGCCAACCAGTCTGCCCCAAGAGGTACTGCATCCAAAGGACAGAGTCCCAATGCCTTGCACCAGAAAAAAGACAGTTCAGGTGTTGTGGGAGCCTTCAGAGCAGTCTAGGGGACTTGTGTGGGGTGGGAGACCTCGCTATACCACGCTCTGTGCTGTTGCCTCGTATGTCTTCTTTCCCAGCATGGGGTAACCCTGTTGGTACCCCTCATCCTTAATGAGTAAGTCCTGCAAAGACTGTTCAGAGCATAGCCTCAGGAGCAGAGTACACCTTTGTACCTGTGCTTTGCCCCCCTGCCCCACTGAAGTGACTCAGGAGAGTCCTATAATCTTTCTGGGCCACAGTTTCCTCATCCGTACTATGGAGACAATGAGGGAGTGGTTATGAAGATTAAGAGTTAGTGCCTATTAAATGCTTAGGACAGTCCTCAGAACCTAGAAAGCACTATAGAGTTGTTAGACACTGGGGGCTGCTCATGGGATTGGCCTCAGGACTGCCAGGAGCCACATCCTTTGCTGCCCCTGGCTAGGTGATCTTCAGCTATAGACTTGGCCGTGATCAATCTCCTTCTTCTCACTTGTGGCAGTGAGAGCCATATCATGGGGCTATTGAGAAGGCTAAGTGAGTTAATACTGTGAAACCCTTAGAGCAAGCAGAATTAGCCCCCCTGCTCCCGTGAGCACTCAGCAAAGCTAGCCAATGCACAGCTCCTCAAATCCTTTAATTAATTAATTTATTTGGCAGTACTGGGGATTGAACCCAGGGCCTGTGCACTAAGTTACATCCCAGCCCTTTAAAAAAAAATTTTTTTTTTTTTGAGACAAGGTCCTACTAATTTGCCCAGGATTGGCTTGAACTTGCCATCCTCCTACTTCCGGCTCCAAGAGCGCTAGGATTACAGCTATGTTCCACAATGCCAGGCTTGTCAAAACCTTTGGTGCCAGGTTGACACCATAGGAAGTGATAACCTGTAAAGGTAAAGGTCCTAAATGTCTGTGGCCCTGTTTCATGAAGAGATAATATAAAATTCTGGCCAGAAAATGACCACTTCTGTTTGTCACACTCAGTTGTCAATCAGGAATCCCACTGGTATGATAGCCTTTCTCAAGCAGTGCTCCACTTCT